ATTCCTCCCCTCGGTGACGGTTGCGTGTTTTTCCTGTTCGCAGATGATACCGCAATAGCCGTCAAAGGAAGCATGCCTCGCGAAATAACGAAAAATCAATGCCTCCAAAACACAAGCGATCATGTTCCTCCATCGACAATCGCCCAAACTGAAACCTGCTCCATCTTGTACTGTAACCATGGATGGCACAAGGGTTGAGTGGTCCGCCGAAGTAACCTATCTCGGGATGTTGTTCGATGAAAAGCTCCTCTTCCGTTCGCATGTAGAGAAAACAGTAAGCAAGTGTTCTGTCTTGGTTAGGTATCTGTATCCGCTGATTTGCCGCAGATCCCGCCTCTCAAGAGTGAACAAACTGGCTGTCTACAAACAAATCATAGCACCTGCGATCCTCTACGCAGCTCCGGTGTGGGAATCATGTGCACAGACTCACAGGAACAAAATTCAGGTCGCTCAGAATATACTGCTGAGGATGGTTCTTGATCGTCCCTTTGACACAAGAATTTCAGACCTCCACCAAGAGGAGAACATTCCAAAATTAGATTTCAAAATTGATGACATTAAGACTAGGTTTATGCAGAAATGCAATTCATCAGAACATGCTTTGATAAGCAATTTGTATATAGTAGGTTAGGTGTATATAGTAGTTACAGGTTAATTTTAGTTGTTAATAGTAGTTATAAGTAGTCTCCTTTTTCAAATTCAAAACAAACCAATCCCACCAAGGTGGTCATACTCTAATAACAGGCCTGATAGGACTAGGAACTGTAAATACTAATTAAAAATTTCAAATGTACTAAAGCTGAAAAGACGCATCTGTGTCACTTGATAATCCATACATGTAAACCAAACAAATACCAGAAATAAAGATCATTTAAATGTCAAAATTCATGTATCGATTCGTTGCTAGACTGTCTAGCAGTATAGTTCGTTCGTTCGTTCGCTTCGCTATCGAGTTTTTTCTAGTTCGTTCTATTGCTACGTTCGCTACGTTGCTCGTGGAAGTGCCGTCATCGACAGGCGTTTTATAGCTGGATTTGTTGCCTGTATCTCTTCTAATAAAAAATATATACTCAAATATAGTAGAAAATATGAATAAATTCAAATTGATTTTATACGAGTTTAAAAAATAAAATAGCTCCAATTTTTTCATATTATTGAGAATAACATACGCCCTTTCAAATGGTGCAAAAAAACTTTTTTTTTTGTTTGCCCCAACCAGAGATATTAACATTTGAAAAGTGTATATTTTTAGTATAAAAACGTCAATAACTCTTGATCGGCGAAAGATATTGACAAGCTTTTTGAAGGAAAAATTTGCGCCTTCTTAAGATCTAAAAGTTATCTGAAGACACCTTTGCTGAGAAATTCGAAATAAGAAAAATAGAGCAAAAAATTGTTTTTTAAGAGTCACCCTAACTCAATTCAAGAAAATAGCTCTAAATCGGCAAATTTAAGAGATACAAAAAAGTTATTTTGAACAAAGTTGCTTGAAATTAGCTCAGCTATAACTTTGCCCAAGAATGTAAACCTTAATTTATTCAAACAAAAAAGTTAGATTTTTGATTTTAATGATAATAGGAACCACCCTAGAATTCATTGTCATAAAAATAAGGGCCTAACTATAAGGAACAACTTTGTAGAAGAGACTTTTAGTCCAAAGTTTCAATTTCAGGCTCAAAACATATCATTCCACCTAAATCTGCATTCTGAACCACTGTGCGCTGGTTGGTAGCGTGTACAGCCAACGGTGACTCTTCGATCCATACGCTGGTGGCTGTGAAGTGCATAGCTGTCGGTGGCTCGATCACAAGGTAGGTTGTGGTAAGGGCAATGAATCTACCCCAAGGGAATTTGAGTATTTAACAGTCTCCCTTATGTAATTGTTGGCAAGTACTCCAACAACCAGCACTGCCAGAAGTTATTCAGCACGAAGCATATTCAAACTTCCTCTCAACGCCGCTCCTTCACAAACCGGATCCTTGATAAGTTGCTTCACTCCCTTGGAATTCATCATCAGAAAATGGTTTGGTGTCAAGGTTTCCCCTGCTACGGTGTTGAGTGAATTCACCATATGTTCAGCCTTCGCTAACAGAGTCACGAGAGACTCTTCATCGAGCTTCCGTATTGTTGGTATGCTACCCAGAGCAATCTTAACTGAACGCACCATTCTGTTCCAGCAGCCTCCCTAGCGTGGAGCTGATGGAGGATTAAATCTCCACTGAGTATGGGCGTCGGTGAACGTACTGCTTATGTCCTGCTGGATCTTCCTAATCTCCTCTGTGAGTTCTCTACTGGCTCCGACGAAATTCGTCCTATTATCCTAAAAACTTACAAATCAACGGATTGTCTTCTTGCACGAATCCGTAGACAAGGTAGCGACGACTTCCAAAAGGATGGCACGGGTAGTTAAACAGGTGGACAGCGCAGCCCAGCGCTTTACCGAATCTCTGCCAAACTTCACCTGGTAGGGACCGAAGTAATCTATGCACACATAGGTTAATGGGGGGATGAACGGTGTGAGTCATTGCTGTGGAAGTGATCCCATCCGCGGAGCTACGGGAATTGATTTATTGACACGGCACCAGTTACAATTCCTCTTGACGAAGCAAAACCGTCCTCTTAGCTTAGAAACTTGGAATTTTTGCCTGATTTTGTTGATCACCGTCTCATCATTAGCATGTTTGTGTTGCCGATGATACCAATCAACCATAAGTTGAGTGATGTAGCCTCGGAATAATTATCGGATATCTGCTGTCGAATGGCACGAATTCCACAGCAGATAGTCGGTTGGTGAATTTTGGCTGACGGGCTGCTTTTCTCCAACCGTTTGCTCTGTTTGCAAAGAACCGCATTATTCTGCTGCAGCAAGTTGACTTCATCTGAATACTTCTCAGATTGAGCTATCCTCCATAGCGTCCGTTCCGCTTGCAACTGCTCCTCTTGGGTTGTTAGGCTTTTCTTCAGTCGACGTGCTTGCAGATTGTTGATGAAGTGATGGACGTACGCTACAAATCTGTGAAGACGTTCCCATTTCGAAAAACGCTGAGCTTCCACAACGAGCACTGCAGCGAAGTCCCTGCATACGTATGCCGGTCGTCATTCTTCCTCCGTTTCACTGGTGTATCCTTCATGATCTCTAGGCCAATGTTCCTCTGATTTGTACAAAAATTGCGGTGCCCGATACCAGCGGCTTACAGCATTGATTCTTTTTCCCCATTCTGCTGTGTATCAATCCATCTCCATTCCTCTGGTTGAGACAGGTTTAGGATTTCATTGACCCGAAGCGCTACATCCTGTCTATAACGTCGAAGATCCGATGTAATCCAAGCATGTACGGTTGTAGAGTCACTCCAGAAATACGTTCGAAGAATCTTCACTGAGCGACCTTCCTCGATCGTTCTTCGTAGACGAGCTCCCAATACAGCTGCCAGTAAATAATTCTGCACGGGGCGTAGATATCGACTGAAGAGGGGCAACTTTCGTTTTCAATCACACCAATGCGCAACGAACCGTTCCTCTATCGATAATGCGGAAGTAAGCTACCACTGAGCAATTCCCTACGAATTCGCGAATCGGTTTATTTTTGTCAGCTGTCCGACTTGTATTATCGATTTATTAGTTTCGCCGGGTAGTCGTTAAGCTTTAGTTGGGAGAAAATCGTGTTTGTGGCCGTTTTTGGGTCGACGTTGGTGGAGAAACTTTTTACTCGGTGAATGAAATTTCGTGCCACATTCATTTTGAGTGTGTGAGGCCCGAATTAAAGCTGTTCTGAATAAGAGCATCAAGAGGATTTTCGCTGTGAATCGGATGAGTTGATCTGAGTTTTGCTAGTTGTGAACTGATCATGGTTCAGAGAATGCTTACAATAGGTTTCTAACTGTTGCAAGGAACGATCCTTGAACCCCTTGGGCATCCGTTTTCCATTTTTAAATACTTGGTTAAATCGCTGTTTCACCAGTTTCAAGTTTCAGGTATGAATTATAATTTTCTAACAGTAGGTTCTCTACGAGGTAAACAAAGTAGTCAACCTTAGCAACGATTGGCAAAACGTCAACACTCAACAGTGATGCCGTTTTGAATTATATTGTTTGTGTCCTACTTGTCAGTGTGTGTCTTAAAGTGCTGAATCGTGCCGGTCAGTGTAGCATACTGTGTTTTGGCACAGTATGCAAAGTTGAAAACCCCTAGACTTGAATATTAATTCTGGTACCAATGCTACCGACGCCAGGGCCAGGGAGCCAGGACCCTACCTCTCGACCCACTACTAAACTTATGGACCGTGAATCAACGGCTTTACAACCCTGATCAGAAATGTTATGCCTCAGAAAATCTCGGCGGCGCCGACTGGGATTGATCCAAGGCCTTTTGGGGTGAGAGGCAATCACACTTACCACTACACCACCGGTGGCACTGATGAAAGTTATATGACTACAAAAGTAATCATTCCACAGGAATAGCCGAAAACATAAAAGTAAATTGTCATTATATATGCCTATACTTGTTGTGTTGTTTGTGTTGTTGGAGTTTCGTAGAATTTCAATTCACCAGTCTGTGTTTACCGTACCGCGTGCACTGAAAACCTGAATCTCCAAAGGAAAAATACTTTCAGGCTGCTTGCTACCATCTGCATAAACAACAATAGGCAATAAATTCCTAACCTTCAAGTAAACAAACTCCAACAAATCCTCCAACGCCGGAGCCAATCAATATCCCCGTTATGATCTACGACTGTCATCATTGGCAATGGGGAAAACAACAAGGAGAAGTATAACTAGTATTTTGCCCACACGATTTGGTTTGGTGGGTTGGACCTTAACCAAGCAGGAGAGCAGAGCGCGTGGGACTGCGGCTGGCAACTGCCGCCACCGCAAGTTCAATAGAGTGATAAATTCCCAGCTTCGGTGATGCAATGCCCAGCCCCCCACTCGGATCTGGAGCCGCAAAATGTCCTACTAAACCCAGTGGCCCACAAATACACCCCCAGAATCGTTTCGACTTACACAAATTATTGCCTCCGCTGTCAGCTGTCGTTAGCCAAGGCCATAAATTTTGCAATCTCCTGCCGTCGTCGTCGTCGTCGTGTCGATGCTTCTACCCTGCTGACTGTTATCCACAGAGTTCCAAGCTAGTTGCTGCTGTATCGACTTGATCGTCCTCCTCGTCGTAGTTCGCTTTGATGCAACCGGGACGGAGCTGCGGGGGGATGCTGCGATGAATGTGAAAGGGGTAGGACGCCCTCAGCCGTCCGCCGTATTGCAGGCGCTTTGCTCTCAGCTCAACGTCCTGTCCTGGGTGGGTGTAATTAGAACGGAAAGAAGAGAGAAAAACAGACGAATACACAATTAGTGAAATATTCGGTTGGGGATGCTGGCTGGGGTTTGTTTTGTATGAGTCAATGGCAGAGCGGAGAGTTTGTATAGGTTTTCGAACAAAGCTCATCGAGTGTGAGAGGTTGTTTTGCAAAGTTCATGAGATCTTGTTTTCTTCAAGTTTGTCGAGCTGTTGTTTTAATCCCCGGGTTCGGTTGCTCGGTGCTGCTTTTTTGTTGTTGATGTTTTTGTTGGGAAAAGTGGAAAGTTAATAACAATGATTGGTACCAACATCAGTGCGCGTTTTGCATTTTGACTTTGGACGGCTCGAATATTGATTGTGGAAAAGTTCGTGCGGGAGTTGGAATGGTGAGAGATACGGAAATTGTAATTGAGCAATTTGCTCGGCTTTAAAATGTCCACGTTAAATTAGGGGATTTTACGTTTTCTCGTCAATTTTAGCAGTGTTTGTAGTGCTTGTTGCTTACATTCGCAACGAATCTTGCCTCACATTGCCTGCTGCTCATGAGTGATATGATGCTGCCGAAGTAATGGGGTGTTTACATCTGTGCTAGTTCACTAGCTCAACCAGCTCAACTAACTAGCACGAAATCCAGTTGCTCCTGAAAACTCATGCTGGTAGATGCTGAAGCAATGTTTATGTTATGCCGAGTACTTTTGACGCAGACTACGTCTTACGGGAAGGTACAGGGGGTAAATCTAACATCTAAAATTGTGACCGTCACGAAAAGGTGTTAGGTTTTGAACGCCTATAACTATGTCATTTATAGATGAAATTAAAATTCAAATACACTAGTTAACACTTAATAACTCTACGAAGCTGTTGAAGTTAATCCTTTTCTAATTTTTCATAAAAAAAAAACAACTATAGAAAATTGGGCAAATAAAAAGTGATAATTTTATCACTATATTAATGAAAAAAGTTTTCCATCATCCCGTTTGAATCATTCTACTTGAACCTGTAAAGTTATCAAATAGTGCTCCTGTCAGCTTTAATTCCCTGATTTTGGCGTATTTGAGAAAATCCAGGATTTTCGCAACAAAAATCACAATCACATTCATCTGCATAAAAAAAACAACAAAGAAAAGGAGTTGAAATTCACCGCCAAAGCAATTTTATTAAACTTTTTATTTATTATAAATTCAAAATAAATTACATTTCATTTTAACCTAGGTGCTCCAGTTCCTACAGTAACTTACCAGCCTTAATTGGTATTATATAACTAAGTGTTTTTACAATGTTCCTGATTTGGCAATTCAGTATTTAAAAAGTTTTTTTGTCCCTGTATGTCAATATAATAATCGACATCTTAAAACTTAAAACAAATACTAAATAATTGTTTTAATAAATTTATTGTTTTTTTTTTTGACATTTGCTCTAAAGTCTCAACATTAGAAATTCTATGTACCTCGGTAGTAATGTACCAGGGAGGCAACTTCAAAATCATCTTAATAACTTTGTTCTGAATCCTTTGAAGTGCTCTTTTCCTGGTAGTGCAACAACTAGACCATATTGGCACAGCGTAAAGCATGGCCGATCTAAAAACTTGTTTAAATATTAGAAGATTATTCGTCAGGCAAAGTTTGGATTTCCTGTTTATAAGAGGATACAAACATTTTATATATTTGTTACATTTGGCTTGAATGCCCTCAATGTGATCTTTAAAAGTTAATTTTTGGTCAAGTATTAATCCAAGATATTTCACTTGGTTTGACCAGGAAATTGGAACTCCGTTCATAGTGACTATGTGACTACTACTAGGTTTCAAAAAAGGAGCTCAAGGCTTATGTGGAAATATTATAAGTTGAGTTTTGGAAGCGTTGAGAGAAATCTTCCATTTTTGTAAAACTTTTCAGCAGTCTGCTGCAAATAACACGAAGACCTCTTCCTTTAGCAGAAATACCGACGAACATAGATTTGTGGTAACACTGAGTCTTAAATGAAATGTTATACAATATAGGCCCAAGAATGCTACCCTGAGGAACTCCTGCTCTAACAGGTAGTCGATTAGATTTGGAATTTTGATAATTTACCTGCAGAGTTCTGTCAGTTAAATAATTTTGAACTAATTTCATAATATAAAGTGGAAAATTAAACTTTTTCAATTTAGCAATCAAACCTTCATGCCAAACACTGTCGAATGCTTTTTCTATGTCTAGAAGAGCAACTCCAGTTGAGTGGCCTTCAGATTTGTTTGAACGAATTAAATTGGTAACTCTTAAGAGTTGATGAGTAGTTGAATGCCCATGGCGAAATCCAAACTGCTCATCTGCAAAAATTGAGTTCGTATTGATGTGAAGCATCATTCTATTCAAAATTATTTTTTCAAAAAGTTTACTTATTGAAGAAAGCAAACTTATTGGACGGTAGCTAGAAGCTTCAGCTGGATTTTTATCCGGCTTCAAAATTGGAACAACTTTTGCATTTTTCCATTTATCAGGAAAGTATGCCAAATGGAAACATCTGTTAAATAATTTTACCAAGAAAGACAAGGTACTCTCTGGGAGTTTTTTGATGAGGATATAGAAAATTCCATCATCACCTGGAGCTTTCATATTTTGAATTTTTTTAGTTATAGACCTTACTTCGTCCAAATCAGTCCCCCAGGAATCATCAAAAATATTTTCCCGAGAGAAAATATTCAGAAAATCCCGAGCAACCTGATTCTCAATAGGACTAGTAAGACCCAAACTGAAATTATGGGAACTCTCGAATTGCTTAGCAAGTTTCTGAGCTTTTTCCAAATTTGTGATCAAAATTTTACCACCTTCTTTAAGCGCTGGAATTGGCTTTTGAGGTTTTTTCAACATTTTTGTGAGTTTCCAAAAGGGTTTGGAACTCGGGTCTAATTTAGAAACATTATTTTCAAAAGTTTTGTTCCTCAGGGCAGAGAATCGCTTTTTAATTTGTTTTTGCAAATCCCGCCAGATAACTTTCATGGCAGGATCGCGTGTTCTTTGAAATTGTCTCCTACGGACATTTTTAAGACGGATCAAGAGCTGAAGATCATCGTCTATTATAATTGAATCGAATTTAACCTCGCATTTTGGTACTGAGGCAGCTCTTGCTTCAACTATAGAAGTAGTCAGAGATTCAAGAGCATAATTAATTTCATCTTTGGTTTGCAAAGGAATGTTTGGATCGAAGTTATATTCCATAAATGTTCGATATTGCTCCCAATCAGCCCTATGGTAATTGAAAGTAAAGCTGTTGGGATTAGAAATTATTTCTGTGAAAATTCAAAAGTTGCAAAAGTTGACATGAATCAGTTAAGACCAAATCAATAGTTGAGGGATTTCTTGCAGAAGAAAAGCATGTTGGGCTGTTTGGATATTGAATAGTGTAATAACCTGCAGAACAATCATCAAACAGAATATTACCATTAGAATTGCTTTGAGCATTATTCCATGAGCGGTGTTTTGCATTAAAATCACCAATAATGAAGAATTTAGACCTATGACGGGTAAGTTTCTGAAGGTCACCCATTGGAATGGCAAATAGGCAGCTATAAACGTAAGTTCTCCAAACTTTGTTTCAACAGAAACTCCCAAAGTTTCAAAAACTTTGGTTTCAAATGAAGACACAATTTTATGTTTGATTCGTCTATGAATAAAGATGACAACGCCACCACAGGGTCCATCAAGACGATCATTTCTATAAATGAAATAATTTGCGTCTCTTTTAGCCTTATGGTCAGGTTTAAGGAAAGTTTCACTTATAACGGCCATATGCACGTTATGAACTCTCAAAAAGTTAAATAGCTCGTCTTCATTATCTGTAAGAGATCGAGCATTCCAATTTAAAATATTTAATTATTTAAAATCCATTACTGAATTTCAAAGTCATGACGATATTGTTCACAAATTTTACTCCAGTTTGAATAACATCAAACATGGAGTTAGGTTTAAGCATATCAGTAATCATTTAAATGAATGATTTCTGTAAAAATTCCATTTTAGGAGCAGTAATGCTTCGTACGTCAAAATTATCAAAATATCCGTTAGAATTATGTTGGCTAGAATTTTGATTCCTACCGGCTGCAATGGCAGCATAGGTAGCTCCATTTATTCGCTGAACATTGTTAGCAGCCAGGGGAACAGGTATCGATGAAGAATTTGAAGCAGGGAGCGATGTTTTTAGCTACGGGTTCGAATGTAGAATTTGTTACCTAGTCGGAAACGTGGAGTGTCTCCTGTCTGTCCCTTGGAACGAGATTGTAAGATCCCTATGCGAGTCTTACGCTCCCAAAAATTGGATTTGTGGTTTTCACCACAATTTGAACATTTAAATTTCTTAGGATCTTCCTTCACAGGACAGTCGTCCTTTGCGTGAGAGGAATCACCACAATTCATGCATTTAGCTGGCATGTAGCAATATTCGGTTCCGTGACCCCATCCCTGGCACTTACGGCACGGGGTGAATTTTTGGAAATTTCCTCCAGTCTTCCTAAAGTGTTCCCACTTCACTCGGACATGGAGTATAAGGCTAGCTTTTTCCAAGGCCTTAAGGTTGTTTAGTTCACTAGACTTGAAGTGAACTAAATAAAAATCATTAGAAATCCCGTTGCGCGAATCGCCAGGACGGAATTTTATTTTCATTTTGATTACTTGGAGTGGCACAACTCCAAGTAATTTTGCCAGTTCATCTTTGATCTGATCCAGAGATTCACCACTGGGCAGTCCTTTCATGACAACCTTGAACACACGTTCAGTTTTGGTGTCGTAAGTAAAAAATTTGTGCTTCTTCTCAGTAAGATACTTGAGAAGACATTTAAATCCGTCCAAGGTTTCAGCCAATACACGGCATTCACCCCGACGTCCAATTTGTAGTGAAAACTTAACTTTCACGAAGTTCAAAAGTTCCATGCGAAGAGCATGGAAATCGGAAGTGGTTATCACAATAGGGGGAATCTTTTCCTTCTTGGCATTAAGCCGGGAAAGATTACTAGAATTTTTTC